AACTCCGTAAAAATGTGGTGTTTTACTATTGTGTGGTGTTAATTTTGATCTAACGTAATCTGTGAATTCATGTTTACATTTTTTTAAAGTGTTATAAATTTGTCTTTCAAGACGTTCTGTTGGATTTTTGTTTAATTTTGAATAACTTTTGTCATTTAAAAGTTCATTAATTTTTTGATCATATATATTATAATCCATGATGACTGTCGCATTACCTTTATCAGCAGGTAAAATTTTGATTGTTTTATCTTTTTTTAAGGACATTAATGCTTTAAGTCATACATGGTTACCTATGCTAAAATCTGAAGTAGACCAGAGAAACATACACCCAAATTAAATTTACACCAAAATTATTAATTAACATTACCTTTATTAATTTAAACAATGAGATTAAGTCAAAGTCACATAACTGATAATTTGCACAGACGAATTATCAGAGCGAATTTTCATATACTGTATTATCCTACTATTGTTACACAATTTATTAACATACTCTTTTTTAGGTTCATTTAGGTTCTTTTGATAACGATAGCAGAAAATAGCTATCGAAACGTCAAGGTAATTTTTCAAATTAATTTCTTTAGTAATTGTAATTTTCTCTTACAGCTTGAACCTAAGTGTGTCGCAGGCTACCCTCTAGGTGATAATTCTTGATTACTTTTTGATAAATAATTCGTTCTTATTGCGAAATGAGAGCACTATTTATCAATCTAATAAAAGACGTGAGGAAATTCTGTCTTTTTTAAAGACAAAAATTTTTGAGGCGAAATACCCAAAAAGAAGTTTGTAAAAAAAAGGCCCGTCTAGTATACGTAGTTGTAGTTCATGCAAATTCGTCCAGGCATGTACTTTCTTAATGAAATCGTCCAAAACCAGATTCGATGATGGCTGGCTGACTGGTGCTTTGTTAGTTATCGCCCCTTGTTCTACCGATTATTGCATGAGGCAACTCGATCATACCGCCGTGTTGAAAGCGAACTTTTGGCTAATTGAACGTTTTTCACGAGTGAACTTTTTTGATTAGAAGCCTAGTTTGGAGAAAACAGCAAAAAACTGAAAAAATTTGCAAATTGTGTAGTCATTTGTAGTTTTCCCGTTTTTTTTGAGGCCTTATTTCGGAGAAAATAGCAAAAAATTGACTATAATTTTAAATTGCCCTTGCTTCCCCTTCGGATTTTTTTGAAAAACTACTTCAAAATTTGCGGAAACTTTCAAAGAGCAAAAATTGTTGCTGCCACTGAACTTGAGTTAAAATTTTGTAGTTTTCGAAAGTTTTTGAATAGAAAAACTTGCAGAACCATTTTTTCAAAATTTGAGCCCACTGTATATGTGCAAATTGCTCTCGCTTCCCCTTAAAATTTGTTTGCAAAAATACTTCAATGTTTGCCGAAGCTTTCAAAAAGTTTTGTAGTTTTGGAAGGTTTTTCATTGGAAAAGCTTGCGAAAACCATTTCTTGTGGTTTTTCTTTAGCCTCTATTCTTAGAAAGTCGCCACTCTTGGTATTCTATACAATTTTGGAGGCTTCATTTCGTAGAAAACAGCAAAAATTTTACTAAAATTTCAAATTGAACTGGAAATCTGTTTCTCCTTAAAACACTTTTAAAATTTCCGAAATCGCCCCGAAAATCAACGAGTTTTGAGCAAAAGAGTGGCTGACTTTTGGAACT